CTCAATAGTTAATTAGTCAAATTGTGCTGCCTATTCTCTGAAGATTCCTCTCAGTCTCCACTTTCACAACAAAAAGGTGTAGTCTCTTTCTTCCATCACCAAACTTCAGTCAACATGGAAAATCCAAGGTAGGACCTGTGTTGATCTTCTTCCATTAATTACGCTAGGAGACATGAGTGATCTGATGAACAATTGGAGAGCAACATACTTCATAGTCGCATTATGTCAGTACCGCTAACGGATAGTCCTCGACTTACATCCATAATTGGAGCTGGAATTTATGTTGCGAAGCAAGGTTTTTGTTAAGTGAGTTACACCTGATTTTATGACTTTTTGTCACCGTTGTTAAGTGAATCATTGCGGTTCTTAAGTCAATCATGCCATCATTAAGCAAACCTGGATTCCCCCATGGATTTTGCTTGTTGGAAGCCGGCCCAGGAAGGTTGCAAATGGTGCTCATGTGACTCGAGGATGGTTGCTGGAGTGCCCAAGTTTTGATTCTGTGACTCCTTGTATGCTGTGATGGTTATAAGTGTGAGGACCGGTTGTAAAGTATGAGGACCGGTAGTAAATCACCTCTTTTGGTGCTCTTGTACCAAACAACTGTTGCTAAATGAATTATTATAAACCAAGGACTACTTGTATTCTCAAAGTAATTATTATGAAAAACAAATAAGATTGTCCCCTTAGAATAAAAGGGTTGGAAGGGATCTCAGATTTATCTAGGTAGCGCAGCTCTTGACACGCATAAACCATGGTCAATTTTTCCTCCTCATTTTCGGTTGCCATTTTGCATATTTCCAAAGAACCTCACTTGGAGGGTCCTTTTATTCAAATGTTTTCCAGTATTGTGAATAAAGGCAAGAGGTTCAACTCTGCTATCCACCCTTAATGTGTGTTTGTGCCTAAACCTGATTCATCTTCTCCCAATCAAAAGATCTTTCCAGATCAGTGATTCATTTTCCCAAACACATTGGAGGATAGGAAAGGGCAAAAAAAAAAAAATGAAGCATTGAACCCATTCCTCCTTAAATTTCTAACCTGCAAGCTTATTCACTTAACAACAATTGAAAAACATGAAAATAGCCTCAGCCATGTTCAAGGCAGGGGATTTGGTTTTGAGAATCCTGTGGTTCGCATACATGCAAAAGTTAGGACAAAAATGATGAGGGATGATGACTCCAGAGGACAAAATTGAGGATGTGCCCAGTCCACAAAATGTCAGTTCTTTGATGGAGGCAAGGAAATGGAATAAGACAGAACAGAGCATACAAAATAAACTGGTTAATCAAACTTACAGACTGCTTCAGTCACAATCTGCAACACAGCAGTTTTAGAATTCCTAAAATATACAAGGCACCAAAATGAAAATAAGAAATAATAATATAACCCACATTAGAGAAACAGCAAAGCCCATTACAAAAATCACCTTGGTTTACCAAGGGAGCTGGATGTCCTAGTCCTGATGAAGAAGCCACATTTTCAACCCAGTTTTTCTTACTGCATTATTTCAGTTCAATTTCACTTACAGACACTTGTAAAGAAAACTTTCTTAGCTCTCTGTTAGAAAAAATGTCAAGATGCCCTCGGTTTTTATCAGCGTGCCTCCCACACTAGAGAACATTTTATATACTGTATAAGGGTTCATGTCCCCTCAAATCTTGGCATTGAAATTGGCAATGCTCATTTTCAATAAAAAAAGAAGACATTCAATGCTTCTGAGTCTGCTCCTTAATGTTCTAGGCCCACAAACTGAACGTCCAACAGGAACAAACAGGTTCAAAGTCCCATTTCTGCCAGTGCAGTCAGATAACAGATAACAGATAATCAGAGTTGGAAGGGACCTTGTAGGTCATCTAGTCCAACCCCCCGCCCAAGCAGGAGACCCTACACCATTTCTGACAGATGGCAGTCCAATCTCTTCTTGAAAGTCTCAACTGATGGCGCTCCCACAACTTCCAAGGGCAACTTCTGTTCCATTGGTTGATTGTTCTCATGGTCAGAAAGTTTCTCCTTATTTCCAGGTTAAATCCCTCTCCTTGTTCACTTTCCATCCATTATTCCAGTCACTATATCATTGCCCAGTCTTTGTGCCACCTTAGCTGCCAGAAGAAAGTACAGCACCTGGTCCCCCAAGATTGTTCTTTCCTTGTCTTAGAAAGACCTTAAATTTGCATTTATATTCCAAATGACAAATATAGTACCAATAAAGGAGAATATTTGTAGCTCAGGGTTGAAATATGGGGACCTCAGTGCCCTCTGAGTTTGGTTGTTTTCTTGCAGATGCTACATTATCCAAACGAGGTAACAATATCAGCCCATGAATGGATAGAGATGGAGCAGAATAAAATGTAATGAGAATTGGTGGTTTTCTTGCAGATGTTTTATTACCCAAACTAGATACTAGCACTGGTGATGTTACCTAGTTTGGGTAATGAAACACCTGCAAGAAAACAAACCAAGCTCAGAGAGTACCAAGGACCCCTCATGGTACAGCTGTTTATATAATACTTGTACTATATTGTATTATTACTTGTATAATAATACTTCAGTTGTTTGGCGTATAGAATGTTGAGTACCAAAAAAAAGATCCTTACTGTCCTTGAAGGCAACACTAGAGCAAAACTCTTAGCTCTTAAGTTCATTATCACTTATATGGTTGATACACCAGAGGTGGCATTCAGCAGGTTCTGACCAGTTCTGGAGAACTGGTAGCGGAAATTTTGAGTAGTTTGGAATACCACCTCTGAGTGGCCCCGCCCCCATCTATTCTCTGCCTCCCGATCGGCTGGGTCTTCTTTTGTTGCCCTGGAGAAGAGAATGGAGCTGGAAAGCAGGTTAGTGGGGTGGGGAGGGAATGGGGACTTTGCAGTATCCTTCCCCTGCCACGCCCACCAAGCCACACTCACAGAACCAGTAGTAAAAAAAATTGAATCCCACCACTGTGCTACACTAAGTATCTACATGGACAAGCCAAATGGTCTGGCTGTGCCTCAGAAGGACTGGTTCACACAAATTACTAAACCATGGGGCTCTAACCTTGGCAACTTTAAGACTTGTGGACTTCAACTTCTGGAATTCTGGAAGTTGAAGTCCACAAGTCTTAAAGTTGCCAAGATTGGAGACCCCTGTACTAAACTATATGATGAGCTAGGCAGAAGAAAGCAAATATCATTTCTCCCGCAAGGGCTACTGAGGCCTGATGTGATAAACTCATAGAGGGGAGTAATGTTTTCAGACAGTTCTTGGCTTTTCGGATCTTTGCAGGTTGTAATGCTTGTACTTTGTGTTTTTGGAGGGACCTAAAACCAGGAAAGATCATACAAAAGAAAATTGCCAGTTTTGCCACCAAATCTTGGCGGTCTGGTGTGAGGATGCTCTAGAAACTTTACAAATGAGGCTGTGACTGCATGTTGTCCAGCTTCTGAGTGTTTGTCTGAAACATGGACTTGGAGCTTTCAGGTTGTCAAGACCCACTAGCTGGGGAATTACAAGCACTTAATGTTGACAGTTCAACAAACAACAACAGTTCAACAGGAGTTCATTAACTCTGTTAAGAGCAGCAGGCTGATTGCCACCATGCCATTGAATTCAAGGAAAAACTACTCATGTAAAAGTAGAGCTGAACAATATAAGATGTATAAAAGAGTCTTCGCAAAAGCATTGCAAAAATAGAAGCACCACAGGGAAGTCAAAGGACAGGGGAGAAATGTACCATGCCATTGGTAACTAAGTTGAGTTCATGCCAAGATACACATTCAACTATAATTCTGAAAGAATGAAGGTTAAGAGATATGAAAGAGCATATTCTGTAAGATATACATACTCAATCCTGGGCATAACAAGCTCTTATTTTCCCAGCAGAATGGGCACAATGATTGTCCTGGCTCAGTGCCTGGAAGAAAAGCCAGGTCTTTTGTGATTCTATAAAAGCCAAATAGGGTCAGGGCCAGCCAAACCTCCAGTGAGGGGGGGAGGACTTGTTCCAAAGGACAGGTGCAACAGCAGAAAAGGCACATCGGGGGTCTCATTAGAATAATACTGCTTGGGGGACTGGCGCATGCTCACCCTGTACAATTTAATGGAATGGACTGAAATAACCAGAGATAGGCGGTGTCCCAAATAACCCAGGTCTGTCCCATGCAAGCATTATAAGTTATAAACAATACTTTGACTTGCATCTGGAAGTCTATACAGAGCCAGTAGAGCTTATGGAATAGTGGTGTTAATAGGTGTACTGATGTTTGCCCGTTACTACTCAATGCCACTTGCAGATCTTCAAGGGCAGTTCCATGTACAGCATACTGCAGAATAAAAATGAAAGATAACCAAGATATGAGCAATTATGAGCAGGTCCTTTTAATCCAGAAGGAGATGCAAGATGGAGCCATGAACTGCCTCCTAATCAAGTAAGCTCAAGTAGACCTCCAGATTATCTGCAGCTCTGAGTGGGCAAGTAAAACCTCACCTAGTTTTAAATACAGAAAATCTTCAGATTTGGCCCAGTTGCTTGGTCTTCCTAGGGTTAAGCATTAAATTTACTGAAATTAACCAGCTCAACCATGTTTACCTTTAGCTCAGATTGTGTCCTGTAGGTATGGAGGGGGAAAGATATGGAATTATTGTTTCAATTCATCAGAATTGATTTAAGAAATCACAATTACATTTTAATGTTTCTCTTACAGGTTCACCAGCACAATATTAGCTGTAACAGGGAGCTGCAGCATTCCCTCACATTTCATATGCATTTGCAGTATAACCATACATCTTTAATTTACACCAAGGGTCTTCAAACTTGGGCAAGTTTAAGACTTGTGGACTTCAACTCCCAAAATTCCTGAGCTAACATGACTGCAGGAGGAATTCAGGGAGCTGAAGTCCACAAGGCTTAAAGCTATCAAGTTTAGAGACCCCTGATTTACACAGTCAGTTCTTTTTTTTTTCTTTCTGTTTACAATAATACGCTACATAAAATTTCAGGAAAATTATCCATATCTCACCAATATACTTTATCTCATCCAATCTGCCCAAAGACCAATCTGATTCAAAATCATGGCTTGTTTCCCATATTACGTTTTCAATACTTGATTGAATTCTGAAAAAATAAAAAGACAAGAGTTCTTTTAAACGTGTGTCCAGTATTGTCCCATGCTTTGGTCCACTCCCTTCATTTATATATAAACGAAATATTACACATACATAATATATATATATATTACAAGGACATCTCACGCTTCATCAATTCCAGCACAGCGGACAAGAATCAACCAACACCGCCTTGCTTTTTAGGCAAGGCTGCCTTTCACAAGCTCCAAATCCCTGATAGCCAATCACGGGCAGGATTCCCTTTGACGTCTGAGCGGCCAAACGCCTTCTCCCATCATCTCCCCTTCATTCCAACTCCAATTCCTCCTCTTCCCCGCCCATCCCCAGTCTGGTAACCAAAGGGGTGGGTCGCCGTCCCGAACTCCGCGCCGCGCCCTCCTTTCTCACCCAATGGCAATCAACCCGAACTTCTAAAGCTCGTCAACGATTGGATCTCCAACCCGAGCCAATCGCGTCGTCCCGCCGCCGTGATATATAAACCAATGCTGGGGCTGAGGTCCCCGCAGTGCTCAAGCGTTGCAGGCGCGGAGTGAGAGGAGGGGACGGGTGGAAGGAAGGGAACTTGGCTCTTGCACGCGCCGAGGTTACGCCTTCCCTTTCCCCGCCCCCTCCGGTCCCTCAGACCGATTTCTTTCCTCGGGTGGTTTCCCCCCCCCCTTCCCCGACCTTTCTTCTCCTTCTGGAATTTTCCTCCGTTTTTTTGAGGGGGGGGTGAAGAGGTTTCCTCAGCTGCCCAACCCGTTTGTGTTTTATTTCGGTCTCTACTTCCCCCCCCACACACACACACACCTCCTTCCCTCCCTTCCTTGTCTCCCTCGGGAAGAGCCCCTCACGATGCGCACGACGGGGACAGGGGCGCCGGGCACGGCCGCCGCGAGCTCGGGGAAAGCGCCGCCGACCGACGGGGATGGGCGCTTCAGCGTCCTCAGCTGGGAGCAGGTGCAGCGGCTGGACCACATCCTGGAGGAAGCCGTCCCCATCCACGGCCGCGGCAACTTCCCCACCTTGTCAGTGCGGCCCCGCAAGATCGTGCAGGTGCGTGGGGGGGGGGGGGCGCGGGGGGGGGGGGGGGGGGGGGCCCCCCCCCGAAGCCCGCTGGGGGGGCCCGGGGGGGGGCGAAGTTACCTCAGGGAGGCAGCCTGCTTGTTTTGGGGGGGCGGCGGGGAGTCCGTGTCCGTGTGGAGACGCCTGCCCTTCGGCGCCGGGAAGTGGGATGGTCGCGGGGAGGCCAAGCCAGCGGGGGAAATGTGTCAGTTGTTCGGAATGCGCACACATACCAGGGCTTCCTCAAATTAAGAGCCCGGTTTCCTCGGGAATTAAAGGGCCGCCCGCCGCCCGGCAGGATCCGCAGCTGGATAAGTCACTGCACGTATTTTAGCGGAGGAAGCCACCGCCTTTATTGAGAGGATGCTCCAGGTCAGGGTGGCAATTTGCTCAAGCTTATGTGGGTTAAAAGTACCGAAGCTTCCCTCTCGCCTATCGGGGCGGGGGAGGGAGAGAGAAGCCTGGAGAGTCAAATCGAATAGGACGCTGTTAAAATTGACTTTTTTACACACACACGAAAAAGCAAAACTTGGAGGTAAGGCCCATTATAAGGAGAGAGGATTGCATCTCGTGGAAGCTTCCCCGAAAGCCGCAGTCTCATCAAGGGAATACATTTTGCCCCTGAATTTATTTGGAATTATTTCGCTGCTTTAAGGTATCAACCCCAGGTAAACTCCAGAGTTATATAGTGTCAAGGCGAGATGTAGGTTAATTGCTCTCACAATTTTGGGCGTTGTTTTTTTTTTAAA